ATAGTATAGAAAATTTATATTTAATGTAAATATAAAGTTCTGGTACTTCTGATTTAAATAATAAAAGCAGGATCACCAAAAAAAAAAAATAAATAAAAAAAAAATAAATATAATATCTTTTAATCTAAATATTTTAAAATTTTATATAATTTTTAATATATAGTATCTAATAATATAAATTATACAAAACAATATATACTTAAATTAATCATGATTACAATCATAAAATATAAATATATTTATATAATAGAAAAAAGAGTAAATTTATTTCTCACCCGAGTGAGATTTAATATTGCTCACCCTCTATAACAAAATTTGAAAAAATGCCAATATCTCAAAATTTTATTAAGATAACTCTATCATATAATATAAGCAAAAATATTCTTCTCGCAATTTTACTTTAGACTAACCTTAACCCTAACTTTAATTTTAACCCTAATATATTAACATGACTGGGGTTCTCTTTTGTACTTAAAGAGAGTGAGTAACTCACTCAGGTGATGAATAAATTATTCTTAGAAAAAATATATATATGGAGTTGAGTCAATAAAAACCAAGCAAATATTTTTTAATAAGTTTTTTTAAAACTTCAAACAAGGATAACTTAACAAAAACTTAATCAAGTTTAGTAAAAAAATTTTTAAATTAATTCTACAAATTTATAAAAACTATTTAAAAAAAATTTTATTAAATATAGTTAAATTCTTATTAAGTTATTCTTGTTTAAAGTTATAAAAAATTTTTATTATAAAAATTTGCTTGATTTCTATTGACTCACTCCTATATATTGAACTATGTGACACAATTATATATTATATTTTATAAAAACAAATATAATATAAGATCAAAACAAAAAATGGTTTACTTTGTTTTAGAGTTAGAGCAAGTTTAGTTTTGGGTTAAAATAAGGCATAGTTTATATCAAAATTTTGCAAAGAATTTTTTTTGTTAGTATATAAAGGGTTTTCTATACAAAATTTTGAGATATTAGTGATTTTTCAAAAAATTATAGTTTTTTGTATTTTTATATTATATCTGATTCTGGTTAAGTGATAAATAAAAGTATCACACTAGTGCAATATAATTCAAGATATTTCCAAATTTGGTATATAAAGATCGCTCCTTTTTTAACAACAGATCTGCAAGAAGATGATTCTAAATACTTCAATGAGGCTGAATTATACCAATCAGCTTTTGTGTATTTTATTGTAAGCCAACTGTATTTTTAAACCCTGTGAATCCCTGTGGATCCCTAAACTGCATGCTTCACCAAGGTTTTCTATACTAATTATTTTAAAATTTTTTGTTATGTGAA